TACAATTTATGCAGTCGCCATAGAGATATGAGGTATAATTAAATAATAATAATAATAATAATAATAATAATAATAATAATAATAATAATAATAATAACAACAACAATAACTCCCCCTAGGACCTAACCATTGAAACACCCGTCAGATGTGAAAATTCACCTGGTAATGAATCGCACGATAAGGGTAAGACGCAAAACCTCCTTCGACACAAAATAGAAAGAGTTCGTCAACTTTAATTCGAATCTCGTTCACCGTTGAGGAGAGTATACGAAAATGCTAAAGCTAAGAGAGACAGCGAACTCTCCTAACCCTTTCGCTCCCAGTGGGATACACATGTTCCGCCAACTTTTACCAGGCTACTATTGGGAAATTCTGCTGTACATTTCAGTTTATTGTGGGTCCCAGTGGGTTCCTGAGGCCTACGTCATTAGTTCTTCGTTTTTACACGAGATTGAACTTGTATATTGGCGGTTTTTGTTCATATTCGTCTGCATTACCGGTGGAGTCCTTGACTGAAACGGCTTTTTTCGACGGTTGATATTGCTGTTACAGGGATTCGAGTTCAGAATTGAGTGTTTGAGTAGCTGAGTACATGTATTTGTATTATCAGTGCTTCTAAACGTAATTTGAAGGTAAGAATTTCTATTTTACATCATATGGGACACATGTGTCCCACTGGGATTGTTGCATGGGTTACAGTGCGTGGGTGTCCCAAGGGTATCTTTTCAGAAAATTACAGATAACGTATTTTTTCGCTTTTTTTTCCAGAACAATGAGTGGTAAAAGAGGTCAAGAACATCTTACAGACGAGGAGTTGGAAAGATATATTTTTCAAAACAGTGATTCGAACGGATGATACATGTGCGGATGGAGATTTTGTGTCAGATAGTAATACTAGTAGTGATGAAGAAGAAGATTCAAAAGATGCAAGTAGTTCTGAGGAAGAGAGTGCGGTGGATAATAATGCACATACAGTTAGGGAAGAAAACAATATTCCAGGCACTCTTTGGACTGACGCAGTAAATGGATTTTCTTCACGATTGAGTGTAGCTGCAAATCGTTCTACAGTAATTTTGTGCAAAGACCTGAACCGGTCAGCAAATGAACTTGATGTGTTTTTGAAACTGTTTCCTATAAGCCTAATGATATACAGAGCCTAGTGTACAAATGAACGTTTGAAAATTTTACAAAGAAAATATTCATTGAAGAAGTGCAAAATTCTTGAAACTGACAGGGGAGAAATTATGATTCTTTTCGTAATATTACTAGTGATGTCCTATAACAAGTTTCCTAAATTTGCACATTATTGGTCCACCAATATTTCACTGGGTAATGAAGCAATAAAAAAGGCAATGTCTCGAAACAGATGACAACTTCTTTGGTCAAAGTTGTACTTGAATCGTCCAGAAAAACGAAATACTGCTTCCAAAACATACTATATTGACGAAGTGTTGTCATGTCTGCAAGTAACATTTCCCAAAGCAAGAGCAGAAAGTCCGTATCAGAGCATCGACGAGTCAATGACTAAATTCAAAGGTCGTTCCAGTCTCAAGCAGTATTTGCCTCTAAAGCCAGTCAAAAGAAGTATAAAAATGTGGGAGCGATGTGACCCTAAGACAGGATATGTATACGACATGAATGTGAATGCGGGTAGAGATGACTGCAGAAATGAAGAACTTACTCTTGGAGAACGAGTTGTTTTGAGGCTAACAGAAAATATTCGAGATCCGACTGTGAGTCTAGCTTTTGGCAGATTCTTTACGAGTGTGAGACTCCTGAACACACTGAAATTTCCTGCTGTTGGAACATGTATATTGAACAGAAAAAACATGCCAAAATTCCCCAACAATTTGGAAAAGGGGGATTTTGAATATCAAACAAACAATTTTGTAACTCTTGCTGCTAGATGGAGGTTGTAGATGCTGCTAGATGAAAGATGTAGTTGTTCTGAGTAACTGTCATGGCCAACGACCAAACCAGTAGAAAGGAAGCAAAAAGATGGAACTAAAGTATCAATTGAATGTCCTGAAGCAATTTCATTTTATAATGAAATTACGGGTGGAGTTGGTCTGTCTGATCAGTATGTTTCCACCTATGACTTTGACCGCAAATCCAATAAGTGGTGGAAAAAGTTTTTGTTATAAATTACTGATGATTACAGTTGTGAACGCATGGATCATTTTACAAGACATGAAAAAGAGGAAAACACCCCTTGTAGACTTCATGGTTCCTCTGTCAGAAAGGCTCCTAGTTTCAGGAAAGTCAGTGGCACAAGTTCAAAGAAAACCCACAAGTGGACGTCGATCGGTGGCACGAAAACTGATGTTGAATGTTGGAGAGCACATGCCTGTGGAGGGGAAAACAAGGAGACGCTAAATGTGCATCACAAAAAATCGAGAAAAGGACAAATACATTATGCACAATGTGTGATGTTCCATTGTGTACAAGTTGCTTTGCTTCATATCATTCATGAAATAAAATAACTTTTTTTAGTTTTCCTAATCTGGATTTTGTATACCAATGGGACGCATGCGTCTTATTGGAGCATACATGTCCCAGGTCCTATTTCAAAATTCCTGAAATGAAAAATTAAATTTAAGACAAAAAATTGTTTAAAAGAACACTCTAGGCTAGAATTTTAACATCCGCAATGATCCACTATTTTTCAGCTGGCCAGAAAAAAAAATGGGTGAGAAAGGGTTAAATGAGTTGGTACAGCCCCCAGGTAGAGATCTAGATATTACTGAAATCAATCACATCGTGTATGTATCTAGTATCTCAGATAATTTTGGAACCACCAAGAACACCGACGGCCGACAGACAGACAGAGTAAACAGCCCCGTACCCCCATGGGCGAAAAGAATAATGAAACGGATAACCGACACTCCGCGTGAAATAACAATCTTAGCAGAGACATCTTCTGAATCAACGCACACGTCTACAGTTCAACGAAAAATATTCCACCTTACACAAAAATACTAAATTGAAAATGACACAAGTAGGCTAATGGTACCTGAAAATCTAAAAGACGAAATCCAAACATGGGCTCAACGCATTAGACGTTACAAACGAAGAGCAGATTTCCGTGTGCAGAATCGGTTGTTTGAAACAGACGCGAAGTAATTCTATCGCAATGTGACTCAAAAATCGAATTGCAATACTATCACTGCTTCAAGGGATGATGTCAAAGAATTTTTGGCAGAAAAGCAGATTCTTCAACAAAGACGCTTCTTGGCTTCAATCTGCAGTTGATGCTGCCGATCTTGAAAACCAAATGTAATACATTTCATATATACGGAGTTTCATCACGCCCTTACTGCACGTATAACCCCTTCCTTTTAGAAGCTAGATGTGAAATACGACTTTTCTTAGTGTTTATTTGATCTATAGGTCATTGCTGATATATTTTTTAAATTTTTAGTCACGAGAAGATTTTTGTGTCCGTTTGGGGTGCGAGTTCGTACTCACTTCATTTCCATTGTTTTATTTACCTACATATTTAATAAACATTTATATACCACTGTTATAATTACTTGTATCACTTCCGTAAAGATTCTTCATAACCTATACATGGAAATAGAGTTTTAATGGCTATATAAGATTGTGGCTATTAAATATGCATTAAAAGAGAATATAATTTCTATCACTACTTAACATTGTGGTAGACTAATTAGAAATCGCTAATTTGTTAGAATTACAATTTATATAATCTTATTTTGCCCTTATCATGAATTTGATTTAATTCATGGTGCTTGGTCTATTCAATACTCTCTTTTCAAATAATATTTTATTTTAAAGTAATGCCAATGTCGAAACTATGTAAATAGCGTAAACAAGAAGTAGTATTACTCATTGTATTAATCTTGTTTTGTAATAACGATAATTGTCTTGTAGAAATTATACATTTAATCTCAAATGTTAATTCAATTCGCAATAAATATTTTTTCTCAATTCAGTTTTTGTTGTATTGTAATAATTAATTTACTTTCTTGACCAGCGTCGTATTTACGATGTTTCAAAAAATAGTTGAAACTTCTTAGCATTTAAGATTATTTTATTGTTCAACCTTTTTAATGTCAATTAATAATCTGTCTTTATTTTGTAATAATATGATTCAGAAACAAAATAATTGACCATCCAGAATGTAATTGTATTTGGTTAACGGTAGTATTATGTTTCTCATTTTCTGTAATTCGCTTAGTCTTTGCACCTCAAAAGGTGAAATTTTATCAATTATATTCACATGCTTTTCAAACATGTTACAAAAAATATTTGTAGCTTAAATTCAATTCAATTGTAGAATAAAAATAAGATCTACTTTAGATTAATGAGTTATTTATTTATTGGTGGTTTCTGTAAGTCTACGTAACTTGTTCCATTAACATTCAAGTTAATAATATAAATGAACTGTTTAAAAAGTAGGAAATTGCAGCAAACAAATGTTCGGTCCACTGATTTACTGTTTTATTTGCCGTTTGCTTTTGAAAGTGCTGGCTGGGTTCCTTCCAGAAAACAGAGGAGCAAGTTCACAAATTCTCAGAAAAGAACCTCTCCCAAGCAATTAAGAACATGGGAAACAGGATATTCCCTCGAATTGATAAGATGCAGAATTATTGGATTAAGAAATTACCAGCAATACATTTTCATCTAGCAAACACTGTTAATAAATTATTTTGAAAACCCAAAGGAACTCCCAGAATTGCTCACACACGCTATTTGCTACCCAAAGCGGGAGGCAGCTCTTAGGCGAAGAACTACAGCCCCATCACTTGTCTGCCACTAAAGTACAACGTTATAACTGCAGCTATAGCTGATGCGTTTACTGACTTGTAATACATCCGAGATCCTGCTGTAATCTTAATCTGAGAGATGTTCTTGTATAGAATCTGTGTGGCTCCAATTAAGTTTCACTAAGTCCATCCAATCAATTAATATGAGGGGGAAAAACAGGAAAGGAAAATTCAAAAATTATAAAGGCTAACACGTTTTTCCTTAAATTAACGTTACAAAACATTTGCAAATATTTGCATTCTGAGAAATTGGGAACAAATATTTGAGTTTACTTCTCTGTGGAAAGAAAAGAAAACTGCTGAATTTCAGTTTTGTATGACATATTTATTTCTTCTTCACAACAATACTTCTTTTAATGCTTTCAAAAATACATTTATAGAAAATCAAAAATGTAGCTGCCTATACAAAAGAATTCTCGATGAGAAAAAACAGCAGGCATTATATCTTGAACTTTTAAACCTCGCACTAAACATCTGCAAATCCATGGGCAAGAGGTAGGAATGACAGTTTCATAACACAAATTAGTACTTCTGCATTCAATAACTAAAACTTCTCTACTACAACAAGTTACTATTCAACACCTAATATCAAACCCAAAATACCACAAAGTATAGCTGATTTCTATACCACAAAGTATGGCTGACTACTTGTAATTGTTCCTACCAGCTGAAACTCAAATGACTAGAAAGACATCAGTCTGAAAGGTCTTCCATATGTAGATCTTCCTTCAATTAAATTTGTATTATAAAAGTTAGACAACTTTGAAACCAGTAAAAGTACATATGCTATACATTCACACTTAATACATATATATAAAAGATTTAAGATGAAAAACAATGATAAAGATAATGGTTGTAACAAGTAACACTAACAAGAAATGCTTCAAGAGTTATCCCAGCAACCCTATGATCATATGATTACTACACATTATATATAAAAAGTTGCTGAAAAAAACAAATGCAACTCCAAACTAAGTCTCCACATTGATGTGCCTCCAATGATGTTACTTCAATTACATTTAACAAGATAAATAATTTCATCTCCACATCAATGAAAACCTTGAAAATCCTTACACAAGATTTTCAGATATCTCAATTTGAAGAGCACTTCTTTATATTGCTGAATAATCGTAGTCTGTAAGATCATAAACAATCAAGCTTTATTAATCCTTATCCAAAAAAATTCACAATATGTGAAAACAGTACAACATGCTGTGGCAGTGATAATTTGTGTCATCAACAATAATGAGAATGGTCTCCTGGTCAATGATTTTTTACATTATTTAGTAAGCAATATCAACAACTGCCTAAGAGATCTGTGTGCCCATGATCAACATATATATATACTATATACAAGTTCATATGAACGATAAATACAATAACAATAATATTCAAGGATTCATAATGAAATAAAAATAATTAGGTGGAAATATTTTTCCATGGAACTCATTCAAGCTTTATAATTTTAAGCATAATATATAAGAGAGTCTGGCTCATTGAGCTATAAAATATTTTCACCGTTTTCTTCATAAAAACAAACTTAAAATTTCAACTTGCTATGTTTTTGCAACATGTGTTAAAAATTTCAGATAAATTAATCCTCCTTAATAAATACAGAAAGAAGTAGAATTATTGTGTGGATGTAGTGCCCTACGAATTTTTGGACAGTCTTAAAAGCTTTTCTCAGAATAGCATTCATTCATCTGCTATAAAGCACAATTTAAGTATATTTCTCTGTTCTAAGACACTAAAATTTAATTATTATTAGATGTTTCATGGAGCGAACGAAACACATACAATGTATTTTAGAATAAGAAATTCTTGCAACAAAAACATAACTTCACCACATTTTAGTTTTCTTTCTAGAATAATAAACTTATTGCACTTTACCCACAACACAAAAATTTATTTTGCTCTCAAAACATCCCACTTTAAAAAAATCATAAAAAGAATTTTTATAAAATTGGAAGGAAAATTCATTGAAACTGAAATTAATTTTTCTACACAAAATATTACTTGCACTACCAGAGTTGTCTTAACAAATAGAATTACTAGACAGGTCTAATCTCCATAAATTTGAAGAGATTATTAATTTCTGACAACATAAGATAGCATAAAATGCTTTTGCGAAATATATTTCATTGATTATGAAAGAACATCATTAATGATAAGTCTTACAATTAAAAATTAATAGAATAATTTTAATACAAAAGTCATGAATGTTTACTGAATAATAATTTAAATCAGGTATAGCAAAATGATTGTTGCACTTTGGAAGGATTGGCTGTTTAAATTCTGACAATGGCATGGGAGTCCATGGCAAGAAGGGCAAAGGCAAACCACAAAGTATTAATTATAATAATATAAAATCATTGGCAAATCCCCAACAGTAATTCTTAATTGCCCAGAAAGCCAAGTAACACACCTCAAATTCTTTACATTCTACACTCACTAAGGCATGACCCAATAAAACAACACCCATTAACAAAACTCAATTTGGCTTAAATATTAATTATCTAGGACTTCACATACCATTTGTTCTTTACAAAACTTTCTGTGCAATATTAATTTCCAACCCTGGTGTAAATTTTAATTGGTTCATTACATTAAGCAATATTTCAAAAATACATTGCACTGAAAATCACAGTTAAAAAATGCAACATATTAAAAATATTAAATAATAATGTCTTCCATTTGTCTTCGATTTTGAAAATCTTCAAATATTTCCAAGTAAATTTTCATTTTATCATCTAACTTGAAGTTTTTTTGAACTTTAATTTGCTTTTAGACACCGAAATGCATACATTTGAAATGAGAAGTTTTAAAACCTGTTTCACACAATTTAATCTAAATGCTATGTTATATCTCATTCATTTCAATTAAATTTAAGAATATTTTTGAAAAACATTTCAGATATTGAAATCAGTCAAACTCATTCCACTCTTGATACTCTGCACTAAAAAATAATATGAAATAAATTTATTTTTATTTTTAGAATCAAATATATTATTTCAAAAACAATAAAATTTAAATTACATGTGGTATCTACCACATCTAACAATTCAAAGGTTGTAATGAAAAACTATTGCAGATATCAAGATTAACAGTCATTTACTACAATCTTGCTTCTGTATTTAAGTCATAATTCTTTTGAAAGGTGGAAATTATGAAGAACATTGCACACCCAATATTGCTAATCTTTCACAATAGTACATTTTCTTACAATAAGACTTGGGGAAAGATGACTTATATAACCCACTTTGTTACATATGGGAACTTTTTAAAGTAGGAAATACTTTAAACTGTTGCTAAGAACATTTATATTGCATTTCTGTGCATGGCAGTAATTATCTGTGCATTAACAACAAAACATTAGTCACATAAGCACCAGGAAACTAATCACTAATTAACCAAGTACTAACATGCTTCATATACATTTATGATATATGCATGTTTTTTACTGTCATTTGTAATGTAATAAAAAGTATGCTCAACTGTATATAAATTTAAAATTACTTATACCTTGTTTTGTGTAAGCAGTTGCTACAATTCCAGTTTAAACTCAGTAGAAGTCTTGTTTTCAGAATCCAGAAACAAACACCAAAGTCTGTTTCAAGAGCACTATGCACACAAAATTAAACATTGCTCATTTTATGCTTATAGGCCAACTCTTTACAAAGCACCATAACAGACACACATTTCTGAATATAGTCATAACTCCTGGCACAAGTTGTAGATAGTCAAATGCTGCCCAATTCATTATCCTGATGGAAGGATGGATGTGTTTGTATATTCTCATATGAGAACTAAATGAAAGACAGCCCAGAGGCAGACACCAGCATATTGTGCTTAGAGGCAGGCACCAGTGCAGCTCAGACAGGCCACCAGAGAGGAGGGCGGCGTTCAGGCCTTTCAGCTGCAGGCACAGTGGCTCTCCGTGAGCGTGGTGCTGCCTCGGGTGACTGCTAGCGCACCAGGTACTCTGACACAAAAGGATTGAAACTGGGCACAAAAAGAGTGGCAGCTGCAGCACCACACCGAACCACCTGCAAGGAGTGCATGCAATGCCACCTGTCTGTTCGTGTGTTGTATTTTTCTGCGGTGCTTAGTAGATGCACACTGTCATTACCACCTAAGCAGTAAATGCGATCTTTCACCATGGTCATCGCAAAGTCACACCGAGGAACACCCATTGAACGCAGATAACTCCAATCATTTGTAAGAGTATTAAACCTACAAAAAAAATTGATTAGATACTCCTTATTTCTAGGAATTACAGGGAAATTTAATCTACATAAGAAATTATATGAAAATTGAACAAAGAAAGTATATGACAAAACTGAAAGTAAAATTTACAATAGTTTTGTTTACAATACAGCATTCATGTGCCACTAAAAATTCGTTTGCAATGTTCAAATTACGTAATATATTTATTATTATATTTTAATAATTTAGTTAATATTAAACATTAACAAATTATTAATTGTATTATATAAAATTAAGTGAATTAAAAGTATATATTACTCTTAATTGTAAGTTTTACAATAATTATATCAAGTTGAGTAATTAAATTTTAAATCATACAGAGAATTTACTACTCCTGTTTCAATTTTGCTTGTTTTATGTCAGGATAAAAGAACTGAAAACAAATTTCAATCTAATCCACACAAGAAGAGGTGATTTATGATAGAAAGGGATGATAATGATGATGATAATAATTTTTTATTATTATTATTATTACTATTATTATTATTATTATTATTATTACTATTATTATTATTATTATTATTATTATTATTATTATTATTATTATTATTAAATCAATTGTTGTCATTGTCTTTGTTGTTGTTGTTGTTGTTGTTCTTCTTCTTCTTCTTCTTATTATTATTATTATTATTATTATAGCCAATCAGATGCTGAGATCGCTAAGGCAGTAGTGCCGTAGTGGTTTTGGTCCAGAAGATTGCGGGTACAAGTCCCGCCTCGGGCAAGGGTGTTTTTTTTATATGTCTGTATGAGTGTGTCGCCCTTTTACCCCTCATTATCAACATCATTTCATCATCCATAGCCCCAGGGCTAATAGCCCGGGGGAATAAAAATCGGTCTCAGCTAAATGCTGGTCCCCAAGTAAAAGTTACAAACATCTGCCACCACGATAATGATACTGAGCCACAGTAAATGAAGGATGCATACATGGTCCTAGTCGAGCAATATGGGAGCAAAAAATAAAGAGAATTATGAATTTATTGCTCTGCAAGTCTTATTCTAAGGGTCTCAAAAGTTTTCATTAACTTAATAAAAAAATGTGAATGATCCAACTGATGAAGAGAATTTCACAAACAATTATTTAAACTTTTTAAACCTAATAGGTTGATTTGATAATGGGTTGATTATTATTAAATATTTGATTTTAAAATACATAAAGAAAAAAATATAAGTGTATGGTTTAGAAGAAACAAAAATAACCTTTTATCTTCCTTATCAACTTCATAAAGATAACATTTTGAATTTCACATTTTTAAATGTCAACAAGCTTAATAAACATAGTCACATACAAGATTAAGAATTGGCCATACTTCCCTCTCACACTCCCATCTAATAAAAAAAAAAACAATCCAGCCACCTGCCCCAAATGTGGGGGAATATTATAAACATCTCACATTATCTTTGAATAGCCTCCAAAATGTAAGAAACACTCTTGGCGTCAAAAACGGACTTGAAATATTTAATTCAATTGAAGGTTGGAAGTCAACTTTAAATTATCTTCATATAGCTGGTCTTGATAATATGATCTGAATAATTGTTAAGATTTATTGAATTCAAGGTTTATGTTGTTTCTAATTTATCAAATGTACCTCTTGTGTAAATCACTAGTGGTTGCTAATGACCTTAGAAGCTTTTAAAGCAACCTAAAATAAATAATTTTAAAAAAAATACGTAGTCACAATATCCAAAAAACAGCATTAAATGAAAATTGAAACACAATAATCAACTATGTACTGCAAAATATCTTGATTAAATTTGCAATTTTCAAGCAAGAAATCACCTCACCTTTCAACACTTTTTAGCCAAATATTATCTGCTGTTCCGCCTAAAGCGTAAATGAATTCATTGATAGCAGCACAACCAAAGCGAGAACGTGCTTCATGCATTGGAGCAAGAAAGTGCCAACGATCTGTTTGAGGACTGTAACACTCTACACAACTAAGTGTGTCAGTGCTGGACCCAGTGGCACCACCTGAAATATTTAATTTACAAGAAGGTGAACAAGAATCCATAAAACAATCACAGAAGCACAAATAATAAATTATGAATAAGCGTTACTGACCAATGCCACCTATAGCATACAATCGACCTGCAACACATGCAACACCATGATGAGCTCGATATTTATGCATTGAAGCCACTTCACACCAGTTTTTCTGAGGTTCCCTATATGCCTGTGATTGATAAAATATTTTTAATACATCAATTTATGAAACTATATTTAGACCTCAGTACAACACATTTAAGTATTATTACTTCAAGGATTCATGAACATTTAATATTTGTCATATTACATTTTAACAATTCTTTACTGTTAGGAGTTTCTCCTGGGAGATGAGGATAGCACAAAAAGCATGTTATTGCACGCCTTTTTCTCAAAGTATATCAATCAATGTAAAGCCACTTGGATTTAACAAGTAACAGAGGGAAAAAATCAATGAAGAAATATATAATAAATTATTTTCAAGAAAATTCCAGACAATATCAATAAAGTATACTCCATTAATAATACACAAGAAAAAGACATTCAAAATTGATGGGTAAGAAAATGTAAATATATGCATACCCATACTCTTCGTTCACATTGACTATCAGAAAACCCTCCAACCACCACAAGCTGCCTTTCTACTAAGGCAGCTCCAGAACCAAATAGAGGCTCCGGCAATGGTTCCATTTCTTGCCAAGAATTGCTCTGAATGTCATAACATTCAACAGAGTTAAGTGCAGATGAATTGTCTTTTCCACCTGAATAAGATAAAACAAAACACTTATAAATGTCAGAATTCGTAACATTAATCTATTATGAGAGAGGATACTTGCAAATAAATCTAACCAGCTTGAGACTGTGGGAAAGAGAGATCACATTTGCCACTGGACTGATGGTCACCAAGTAATTGTAGTCTGCTGTTCATTGAAGAATTTGAATTGTCATCTTTACAGACTACACCATAAACATGTTTTGGTGAATTTTGTTAGCCATTGTTTAATTTTTATACTTGTACCACAGTGCAAAATAATGAAGGACTTTTAATTTATTCATTCAATCATGTTCTAATCTCACTCGGTTTTGAAAACCCATGGCCACAAGCCAACCGAGTATGAGAGCCAAGAATGCACTGGTGACATAAAGATATTCCAGTACTGCCTTATAGAAGTCTATTGAACTTTTTGGGGGGATTTTGGTGTCTGCTATACCATACAAAATCCAATGCTCCAGTACTGGAAAATCCACAAACATGTCAGTGTTGCAAACTTGCTTTTTGCTTATAAAGGTGACTCAGAGAAATAATACTGATCAAATTTGATTAAGGAGCAAGTTTTCCAAACACATTCCAATGCAATTGGTTTTTGAAAGAGCAAACCAGTGCCTCTAGTCTAGTGTAGGTGGATGGAAATATAACAGGTGCCATATCAAATGTGAGGAGATAATACATTTGCAAAAAGAGGTCCATCCAGCAGCACAAGAGTCATCAAATGAAGTATTTAAGGCAAAGAATTCTATGGAAGATTCTCCACAACCAATAGCTATAATCCACCCACCTATAAAGGAGCCAAGGACATGGGATTTTACTTTAAATCAATAAAAAAATAATTTGGGTTGGGGGGGGGGGGGCGCCAGAAAGGATACTTACTGTCCAGAAGAAAAGAAAACTGTCTCTGCTATAGCTCAATGGTCAAGAGAAACTGAAAAACCCAATCAAGTAGTTGTGGTTAAAGACTTGTTATAACCCTAAACAAAGGTTACAACAATCCCTTCAAAACCTTGTTTTAAAACAACCAATGTTATTTTGAAAGAAAAAAAGCAAAACAGGCATCTTCTTCTTCACGGATTAGGCTACTGCCTGTTCCGTCCCCACAGTTTCTCTCCGTCGTTTTCGTGGCCTTCCCATGTCTCTTCTTCCTCTGCGCGTATAACAAAGCTGGTTTGGGAAGTCTGCTATCACTCATCCTTTCCACGTTGTACCCATCTTTGTCTGTATTCTTGCATTCTAGTATTAATTGATGTCACTTGTAACTCTTTTCTTATTTCTTCATTTCATATTCGGTCTTCTCTTGTGCATCCTTTTATTCTTCGCAGAAATTTCATTTCACTACTTTGTATTGTTGTCAGTGTTTTTTGTGTTAATACCCATCTTTCCCAGCCATAGAGTAATGTAGGAACTGCCATGGTATTGTAAAATTTAATTGTTTTCGGTCTTGTCTTATTTTTTAAAGTGTTGTGTATCGTTCCACATATTTTTTGATATTTCGTTAATTTATTGTCAATATCTTTATCTTTTTCATAACTTATTTTACACCCTAAATGGCAAAACAGGCATGTATATTAAAATTTGGTGATTGCACCGAAAGTAAATCATGAGATTGTGTACCCTTGTAATCCTTTCATATTCTATATTCCACACTTGTACAGCCAATACTATTGCATGCTTCTCCAAACTGATCTCTACACTATCTGATCTAAGGGAAAAAATAGAAAGGGTTCAAAATTTGGTTTCCTTATATGCAGCTTTGAAGATTCAAGTACAGTAAAATGAGTTGACATTGGATACTTTTTACATAGCATAGCATATAGAATAAAATGTGTGCATCTTATTTCCCTTGGTACTAGTGATCCTCTGAACAATAGTGACAATCACTTTGGACTGAACAACTGGGACAAACACTTATTGTAATACATAATTATATTGTGATTGATTTGCTTTGGTTCCAGATTTCATTTCTAATGTTAATGAATACTGAAATTGAAATTGTGAAGAGAGGTCTAGACTTAATCTAACTTTTAATTAGTGCTCTAAAATGCAAACATTCTATGAATGTATTTGGTACTAGTGTTGTTTTATTTCCAATAAAATTTGAATATAAATTGTGTATAATTAGAGGTGCATACAAGGGGAGCAGTGAAGACACCTTGCTGGAAGCCCTGACTTCATTGAAGTCCCAAACATTTTTTTAAAATTCAAAATAAGTAAAATATGTATTTAGTCCTAATTCAAATTAACTATTGTAAGTTATTTCTTGAAGAGATGAATAATGTTTATGTATTGTAAGGGAAATCAGAACTTCTGTATGAAATGGCTCTCATGGATTTATTGCCCCAGGCCTGTTTTCTCTGGCACTCTATGCATAATAAACTAACTAAATGATTGTGATATCGGTATGACATAAGAATATCATAATAATTCCAATGATAGTGGCTTAGGTACACTTTTCCAACACCTGAGGCAAAAAGAAAAATTTTCCCTTCTATTTTCCCAAATATAATTAAAGTTATTAAGGTTTTTTGCTTAAAATATTTTTCCAATATCTGTTCTTCAACAACAAATAAGTTCATGAACAACTTTTTGACAAAATCATTACTTTTTCCTGTAATATTGCATAAAGTATGGGCAATTTTTAAACAATTATTTTCCCCAAAACAACTCCAACAATATTCTTGAATTTTTTCAGCAATAGATGCTTAAAAAAGTTGTGCAAGTCCCCATTTTCTCAAAAATGGCTGCAACAATTTTCTTCTAAGTTTTTCCTCGGATAGAGTAAATACCTTCGTATGTTCTTTCTGAGACGAGGAGCTGGTCCAACTCTCAACCCCCGCTCTGGAGGACTGGATTTGTAACTAAAGTGAGCTTCCTCTAGGGAAGTTGCTTTTACTATACCTGCCAAGGCCTCTCTATCCCTTAGTTTTCTGTCAGGGTTTTTCTTCCCTTAGCCCGCATGCTCCCATTTTAAGGCCTCAGACACCAGCCCTCACCCTTCTCTCATTACCTACTCTCAGAAGTTTATACCAGAGAGTACCCAGGGGCCACCATGAGGTAGGTAAGTTGTAACATCTTTACATACATTGATATGGAATTCAAGCATAAAAAGAAACAAAAAATTATGCTTTATAAAACAATAGTGGAAAGTCTATTCACATATGGAGCTGGGTTATGGACTATAGATAGAAGAAGTTATGGACTGGGGATAGAAGTAGGTTCCAAGAAACAGAAATGGAATATTAGGGACAGTGTTGTCAGGTTACAAGAAAAGAAAGAATTTAAGTCAATGAATAATAGAAATAATGCAACCTAAAACATCAACCTTAGAACTGTTAGAAACGGAGGCTTATTAGAAACAAAGGCTTAAAAACACACATTGTATTGGCATTTAAGAAAATTGGACAGTGAGCGACTGCCAAAGGCGGAGTGAGAATACCATCCTGAAGAAAGAAGATATAGAGGAAGAGGAAAGACGATATAAAAGAAGGAGAGGAATATCAATGATGGCAGCAAGAGATTTAGAATATGATACCTGGGACGATCAAAAAAAATGAAGAAACAGTGACAGCTGTAGAATACTCTCTTTACTACTTCTACTACTACTACTACATAGAGCAAATGAGACTTAAAAAATGTCACTGGTTCATTTTCAACAAACTCTGCATTTTTAAATATTGCAAACCAAAAATGAACATTGTAAAATGTTGATGATAACTATGATTTTTTTTACTTAATAAAATATGTTCTTTAAAACTAGATCTTGAAATAATATACCTGAAAATATCTGAATTTTTTAAAATTGAAAACGCAAATGTTTTACTTTTTTGAGGGGCCAGGAAGGACGTGTCGTAACTGTGAGGCTGGCAAAGTAGTGTTAACATGACTGCTGTTATGGACCTCAGTTCAAATCCCAGTGCGGAGAAAATAACTTTGCGAGTTGGAAACACTTTTGCAGATTCATGTAGTAGTATATAGTGTATTTGTTACAAATGTGATACAATATATGATGTTGTATTACCACTAGTGACGATAATGGAGCAAAGCTTGGGCACGTTTGCTTCAATGTTCTCAGACATAATTTTGAACTATTCTAGTAAAAGGTAAATAAATAATAATAAAAATAATGATGCTGATGATGATAATAACCATAGATAGGTTTTAGTATGTAATTGAGTATTTGTTTGTTCATTAGTTATGATCAAACTTTTTATCATATGTTTACAAATTTGGCTTATCCAAGGAATTCGAAACCCATTTGATTAGCTTCCCTCCTGTTACCTGCCTTAAGGGAAATCAAAGAAGAATGATTTCATACCAATCATGGACATGAATTCAGAAACATGTTTGGATCAGTTTCAGATGACATTTGCAACCATATGTCAATCAGCAAATAGTGATCCTTTTAAAAACCTCCACTACAATTCTAGAAGTTTTGCATTATTCGTAAGCACCTCTACATTTCAAATTTCTAATGGTACTAGAGAAACTAATTACCAACTAATATCATTATATGATTTTTAAATTATTACATGTTGACTGTCAGTATAATTGAGCCATATTAAAAACTGTTTATACCTATAACAAACATTTTGTATTCTGTTGTTGCCACAGCAAAATAGTAACGCCCATGATTCATTGATGGTATGACTCGAGTTTCATCTTCTGCACCAGATGTTGGGGCAATTCTGGGTACAACACAACGCCAACTTTCATAGCTGGCAGTAAAACATTCTCCACTAGCCCAAACTGCTCCTTCACACTGGCCTCCAAACGTAAAAATAACCTAGCACAAAATAAAATCAAAACTGTAATAATCTCAGATCTACTAATTTTGTAACTAAAGATATTGTGCAGTTATTACACATGTTCAAGAATTCTTGCAAATTCCATGGGTCTTTTAACACCCGTAAGCACATCTGCCAACCTTCTGTAATTAAACACACCAAATCATAAGTTTGCATGTTCTTACTGAAACTGTGCTTTAAGAACGAAATAACAATCTTGAATTTATCATAGCTTTATCTTATTGCTTTTATTTAATTTAATAAAACATAAACAAGTGAAACATCTCATTCATAAGTTTGAACAAATTATGCTATATAAATAGCAGAATAAAAGGACAACAGAATAAATAAATGTCATGCTTTAGAAGAATCAATTACAGTAGAAATTTGATACACAGATTAATTGGCACCAGACTTCTTTTGAATTATTAAATTGTCCGGAATTTTGAAATGCACCAATAAAGAGGTCAGTATACATCTTCAATGTAAAACATCTTGCAAAAGTCATTCAAGATTCACTTCGGTGACAGAAGTGAAACACGACTAAAAGTTAAAGGGTTCAATGTGCAGTTTGAAAAATTCCACCTAAAACCATTTTACATACATTTATATTGTTGTTAATAATGTTTTTTAACTATAAAAAATCTTAAAATTTAAATAATATTAAATAATAATATCCTTATTTTGAATCTTATTATTATATCATTTCTGGCAATTAACAGTTTTAATAAAATTACTATGTCATGACAATGCTTTTAAACAAATATATACTTAAAAATCCAATTAAAATTTCTAGCCATTTAGTGAGTTAGGAGATGGGGTACAATTATCCAAATGAGTTTTAAGTTTTGACATTTTTCTACTTATTTTTTGCCACAATCAAATTTGAGTAATATCCAGATTTTTGACACACGAATTAATGTCGTTCTACTGTATGTATATTTATCAATGTTTCACAATTCGTTTCTTACCCTGTTAATAATTCACAATTTCACAGAAGGCATGTTGTAGGCAAAATTTAATTTTTTGGAATTTAATTCACAATCAATGTTGATTGTTCATCAATGTTGCACATTTTAGATTGAAAATGCAATTTGTCACTTAGAACCACAATTTCAAAACATAATACCTTCAGTCTAATAGATATGAAAGAAATTTACATGTGATCAACATCGTTTGGAGTTTAATTCTATTTGGCTAACTAAAACTATCATTATCTAACATAATGCATTCCTTGAAAAACATTACAAAATACTTTAAACAACCTGCAGAACCAAATCAAATTACACTATATACAAGCTTTTTCAGTATAGCTGGCATGGAAAATTAAAACGGAAAATCAAAAACAATTACAATACCATATGCATCCAAAGGGAATCAAAAAAATAATATTATGTGATAAAAAGTACTAAAGCAAGCCCAAGAAAGATACTAAACCAATGAAAATATCTTCCTTCTGTAAATGCATTCCTACCAACTGGAAATAAAGCAACCCCTTTCAGAATAGTAATGAAAACATAAGAACTCAAATAAGCTAAGACGATCAAAAATCTTCAATGTGATAGTTTCTGGAACAAAATACTGATCCTAATGACCATTAAAAATTATGAATACTCACTTCTTCTTCTACAGCATGTCTACCTTCTGTTTGATTTTCTGTGTTATTCTTCCAAAATCTTTGTCGACAAACATTATCATACCTTTGGGCCAAAATTTCATTGACTGTCTGTGCAATAGATGGGTATAAGACAGTGTTGCTGACTTCAGGTTCTGTCTTCACACGCAATAGTATTTCCATAGGGACAGCCCGAAGGTTAATTTTGGTTACCAAACATTTAAGGTATTCAGCACGACTCAAATCATATTTATACCATTGAACAACACCCTACGAAATAAATATGATAAACTAAACAAAAACTTACAAAACAGAGGACCTTTTGAAAATTACCTTATAATCAATTGTAGTCAACAAATAAATTATTCTTAAATTAATATAGTTAAGAGGTCTATAAATATACCTTCAGAAGTTCACCTTCATTCTTAACATTAACCATTTGTGAGTCAAGAACTGATTTCAAAACATCTACAGGAACATGAAGGAATTCTTCTTCTGCTATAACAGCAGAGAAGTGATGTAAGGCATATTTAAAAGCTGTGTCAGCAAGATCATGGTACCCACGTAATTCGGCAGTGACATATACGGAAAGACAATTTGCGGGACTAAGGGTAGAGGACAAATAATAAGAGCAGGCAGGACGCAGAGATGAAATCTGAAGTAAGTCTGACAGCTCAAGAATTGAATAAACATTCTCTTCATCTATCTGTAAAAAAAAAAAAAAAATCAAAAACATCACAAAGAAAAAAATCTTAAAAATAGAATAATGCACAATTGTGGTGGTAATAATCCACATAATGTCTTCAATTTATACCTTTATTTCTGCAGTATAAATAAAATTAACTATGTCTTTGAGAGCACTGAACTCGCTTTCTTGAAGGAATATTTTTTCTTGATTTGCCTCCTTCATTTCAGTACTAAACATTGCTCTGTCAAAAAAAGCGGATTATTTTTACATAAAATACTTTTTTGGTTGTAGTCACACGATTCTATAACCTCGTTCAGTTTAATACTGAGTTTTTAATGTTTTATCTTGTACCAAAAACCAATTCGTTCGTATCATTCTATTATTTAATTAATTCAAACATAACTACAACATACTTCAAGCTATGAAGGGAATGCATGTTCATTAGCCGGGGCATTAAATTATTGTTGCGAGTACTGGATGTATACCTAAAGTAAGGAGATGCGGCAGCAAGTATTGATTTATGAACCAAAAGTTCTTCGTTATTGACAACAAGGGAGACATCACATAATACGCCACTTTTTCGTAATTCTGAAAGATCTTGCAGCAATAACGTAGGGTAGATCTGGTCGCAGAACTTCATGCTTGAAACCACTTGTAACGTGTTACGGGAAGTGCGCGGTTCAGTGAACGACTTTACCGTTTATCTTACTCACAAAATTACAAACACGAACATACGTTCTTTTAAATTCTCTTATCAACCTCGATTCAACCCTTTCCGTCATCTTAATTTGAAAGAAGGGTTCTTATGAACGTTAGAAGTTTGCTTTGTTGGCAACATTGAATCCCCGCCCTGTCATGTTGCAGAAGCGTCGATAAGCAAGTGCCTGACAGTGAGGCGCGGTCTTCGGTTTACTATTGGCGAAAACAACAAATTTTCTTTCTTCTCACAACCAACCTATAAAACATCCGGGCATTTTTTTAAATCTTTACCTTGTGTAATTTTGGCTGTATATGGTACAGGGATATATTAAAAACTGATGCACAGGGGGAAAAAAATTAAAAAACAAATAATTTCACTTTGTTTTTATTCTCAAGGCATTTACAAAATTAACATGAATTGCTTATACAACAAATGATACACTTTTTCATTAAAATTAATTAACATTTCCTTTGTTTACATAATTGGACTGATCAAATTTGCACTGCTACAATAATCACATTCCGTTACAATTCAAGTGATATAATTGTCAGCTTACATGGTTAGCTTTTTCACATATGTCATTTACAACCTCACAAAAAATAGAATTGATACCTATGGTACCATCTATCACTTTTACATCCCCTACAGTTTGCAACATTTCTGCTTTGTGCTTCACATACTCTGGCCACACACACAATTCAAAATATCCAGGGACATCAGGAGGATCATATGTACGAGCATTTCTACGTTTAACACATTCATCCTTTGCCAGAGTTAAATGATATTTTAGATTGCAAATGTCAACAATGGGCTTGTAATTCAAAACTAAAAATCCTTCTATGATCAGAACATCAACATTTTTTAGTATCTCAAAATCGTCTACATTTTTAATTACTTCACATCCTTGAATTGTATTAGGTTCCCCATCATTAGGTGAGATATTCCTATGTAGATGCTCACCATTTAAAATATTATTAATGTCTTTCCACATTCTATCCATATCCAAGCTGGACATAATTTCCCAATTAAAATGATTTACTTCTGGAATCAAAACATGGTGACCACTATCTTTGTGCCAAAAATAAGTGTCCTGACACAGTAGATGTGATCTGGGAAGAGCCTTATGCAATGCATTAGCTAGAGTGGTCTTCCCACCATTGGTTACACCAGATATCCCCACTACAATCATGATCACATCGATGTAACAGGGCTGGAATGAACTCAATTTGTCACTCAACTACAATGGGTAATCTACAACAAAACAAAAACAGTACAAAAAGACATGAAGTTCAAACAACTGTAATAAGATATATTCATGTAAATCAAGAACATTTTAATTCTGAAACATTCCGTCACTTTCTACGAATTGCATGAGCAGTGTAAATTACAAGTGCCCCAATAAACACAAGTCCTATTACAGCAGGTACAAGGAGTGCTATCCAGATTGGAGGGAAGGAACGAATAGCTTGAATATTGTCAGCAAATGGCAGAAACATAACCCATGCAGTATAGTAAATAAAAAAAACACAACATGTAATCAGGAAAACTTTGCCTAGAGTTGCATCACTTATCATGATGCTGATTATAGATTAACACACACAATGTTTCCAGAGATACTAGTTTCACTGACCTAATACAGAAACAATCAAGCATTCACAAAATATTCTTTTTCAAATTTCTCAAAGTCCTCTTCAGTGAAAACTGTTCCCTGTGGTTCTTCAATTTTAACTTCTTCTTCTTTTGACTTCACAGCTCTGTTAATTATCTAAAATGAATAAATCTGATTTGTTACACAATCCTTTAATTAAGGCACACTAAATCCCAAGTAATAGTTCTTTCTCACCTTCTTTGCAATTGCACTATCAATGTCCAGACTGCCAAGTAATTCTAGTTTCCTAATGTTCTCCTCAGTCTTATCACCCTCAGATCTCATACGCTTTACAGCCTCTGCCACTGACTTCACTAGAAAAGTAAATATTGTGAAAGTGATAGTAAGATGTTACATAACTGAATACTGAAACTACTAACATTCAGGACATTTCTATAACCTACCTCTTGTACTAGAACGATCTTTCCTGCTCAGTTTTTGAAGTTTCCGTAGATGTTTATCTCCATTCTTGCGGAGAGATCCTGGATCAAATGGAAAGCAATAAAATGAATTCAATATTAATTCCTGAAGTTCTTTTTTACATTCTGCATGATTCTGGGTGATTATCAAAGTTACTTAAGAGCAGCTTATCAGAATTGTGTAAGTTTTAGTTTGTTTTGACCTTGGTCACAAGCTCCAATGTACAAGATGGGTAACAGTTTGCCATTTATACATGAAAATATATTTATTAATTCTTTTTCAAAGAATATATACATTATTCTTAAATGCTTACTGTTAAGTTATAAAACAAAATCAATTAATTACTGTACAAAATGTGCCAATTAAAATAAAATATATTAACAGAAAAATGGTATAATTACACAGAGTTCAATTCAACTTGAAGCATATCACACACTTTTTCAATTTTCACAGTCAATGTTGACTATCTCTTTATGAGGATAAGTTCTCACATCACACATCAGAAATATGGAGTTTACTGATGTCTTCATACTGCACATTGTCCACAACTCTGCCTTTAAGAGGTCCAGATGAGATCTCAATGCTTACACAGAATTTGTCCTCATCAAGAGACTTAAGTACAGCTACAGAACCTCTGTATGCTCCATTCACAACCATCACTTGACGTCCAACTGCTGGTATCACTGTTTCAAGATGAGCTTGATCCAATTTGAGTTTATGACCTGTATCAAGCATGGTTACCATTGCAACATATTTGCTAGGTACTTCCTTAACAACTCCTTTTTTCTTGTAATACTTATCTCCCAAAGACTTTGCCATCACTTTAACCACTATCCCTTCAACAAGCCAGTAGTCTTTCCTGTTTACTTTTTCTTTTTTGGACTCCTCTTCTTTAATAATATCATCTAAAGCTGAAGCTTTTCTTTTCTCTCCTTTATCCTTTTTCTTTCTCTCTTCTCCATTGGCATTTTTTTCTTTCTCTTCTTTCAATTTCTTCTTTAACGCATTAATACCCGAAGATTCTGGCTTGACTTCTTTCTTAATCGAGTTTAGATTCAAGTTAACAACAATTTTCTCATCTCCATCTTTAACAAGTTCAGTGAAAACAGGAGTTTCATCTTTGGCATTTTTCTTACCCATTTCAACTTGTTTTTCAAAAAATTCCATTCTTCTCTCTTCATCATCCTTTTCCATTTTCTCTTTCTTTGCTTTCGCCTCTTGCAAAGCAATAGTTTCTGGATTTCTGTCTATATATTGTACAAACCAACCCTTCTCCGTTTCATCTACAACACACTTTCCTTCCCTTCCCAACCATTTTACAAATTCTGTTAAAGTTTCCCATTGCGTAGCATTCATATGTAAATGATGTCGTTCTGAAATGTAGTCTTGATAAACTCTGTTAGCATGAACTCTCTTGGTACCAAATTGTCGGCTCAAGAGTTCCAAATACCCTTCTTCAAATTCTCTAGAGAATGAATCAATGTACTTGGAAGCATTATCTGCAAATAACAATAGCTGACGTTGATGAGATTCAGACATCATATGGCATTTAAACCCATTTTCGTCTCGGCACTGTTTCTGACACATTTGACAATACCATCTTAATTTCTGAAGCCCTTTTGCTTTTATCTTGTTTGCGATGTATTTTGGAGTACCGACTTCGTGTTTTCCCATTTTGAAAGGTTAACAGGAAACAGGTGTTTACGGCTCGTATGTAACCAGGCGGTGATTTTACAAGTCTGTAAAAGAAACCTAATTTCACTTCACTGCTCACAACACAATAATTGTTCGATATACATCTTCTACTTTAAATGAAGTATTAAAAGTTAGTTAACTGATGGGACACACTATAACCTCGAAAAGGCGTCTAAGATGAATATGGCTTCTTACCTGCACTCGAGTCGCAAATTTCCAAACTTTTGCGAACTAAGGATGCTGACATTTCACAATATAGATGATAAACAGAACCATTTACCGAAGAAAAAAACCTTACGGAGAAGGGATACGAACAAAAATTACAAAGAACGCGTTCCAATACGTAAAAATCACTCTCTCAACTGCACTAGATTGTGCTCAATCGCAATCTGATCGCAATTACTCTAAATACAGTATTGCCAACCCATATCTACTCTTTGTTGCCAACCTATGCCAAACTCAGAAAGCTATTAATTGGCTGTCGAATCTCTGAAAACAAAATATGCTCATGTAATAAATACGTTACAACAACTTTGTTAAATTATATTTATTTAGTCACAAAATGTACTAAGTTAACATCACAATGTGAAGAAGAGAGAACTAATAAGCACAAAATGGTATTTTTGGCATACAGAAAAGAGAGTGTGTTGGCTTTAGCACCACTCTACTGCTCTATGTCCCATAGGGGCCCCAAACAAGTTAGAAAGAGCAAATTTCTAACTCGTTACCCTATCCAAAGAGTTAGTGGCACCGATAAATTCAATATACCAATAATCGCATTAATTATCACATATCACGTATCAATCACGAATTCGTCATAAGAAGAGAAAGTTATGTAATAGTGCGCCATAAAAAAACCAAATTTCGCCAGAAAAAATTCTTATTGCAGGGTACTGGTTACAAATACGTGGATAAATCCTGTTACTAAATTTATAAAAAAATCCTCCAACTCGTGGTGTAGCCAGAATCCGTTTAGTTGGTTCTTGATACCAAAAAATTGATTGACGGCGAAACGTGTCCGTCCGTCTGTGGTCACCGTTAGCGGCTAACCCGTTCAGTCGGTTTTCCCCAAACTTGATATTCCCCAATCGATATGGGGGGACAAAACATTAGAAAATTACCTAGAAAAAGCAAGAGCTAAAGCCCGTTTCACCTTCAAAACTACAATGATTCAGGTATGGCAACAATATTCCTTCTCGATTCATAATCAAACGTCAAGTTCGGAACTTTGGCATGAAGTTAAGGTTATTAATGGGCAAATACACCACCCAAAATGTTAATAGATAAGTATGTAAACAAAGATGCTTGTCCCCAAGCTATGAGTAACCTATTTGCAAATTCCATTGCAAGAAATTCAAGCAATTCAAATTACGACCCAGTTTTCTGTCGCAAATGACATCTTCTACCCGGAAATCAACAATGAATTGCAAGAAAATTCGAAATCAGCACAACCAGTCATTTCATGTTTCCAAATCTACGAAAACTGCCATTTTTTCTCTTCTTAAAGATGTTTCTTCGTTAATGGAGAAAAATGAAGCAACCGTTGGTATATGTTTAGGTCATTCGAAAGCTTTTGACGTTATTGACCATAACATCTCGCTATCAAGATTATCTTATTATGGGATTCGTGGTATCGCCCTAGATTGGATAACTTTGTACCTTAAACATTAATCACAAAGAGTAGAAATACCTTACTGGCACGAAAGGACATTATTTACTTATCTTTCCAATTCTTTACCAATTGAATATGGGTCCCGCAAGGTTCGATTTTAGGTCCTATCCTCTTTCTGTTACATGTAAAAGATATGCCGTCGTCTATTAAAAGCGAAAGAACGATTTTGTTTGCCGATGACACGCATGTTGTTTGCAAAAAAGAATCAATACATAGTACGATATCATAAGTTTCAAATTGGTTTTGTAATAATACATTAATAGTTAACAAAGGAAAAACAGTTTCAATGCATTTTTGTCTTTCAAATCAGCAATCATATGCTCCTTTGAAAATGAACAACATGCAATTCGCTGGTGTTAAGGTAACATTTCTAAGTCTCTTAATTCAGCCAAACCTTAAATGGAATGTACATATAACAGAATTAAACACTAAATTAAGTTAATTATGTTACGCATTCAGAATTCTCTCAAATTCTGTCAGCCATCATGCAGTTCGTTGCATGTATTTTGCGAAATGTGCATTCCTGCCTGAGATATGGCATAATATTCTGGGGAAGCTCATCAGTAGTACCCAGACCTTTAGATTGCAAAAGAAAATTATTCGAATAATGAAAAAATGACATCTGCGTATTCCCTGCAAGCCTCTCTTCATTGAGCTTGGAATCTTACCATTGCCTTGCCTATTTACTTACGAATCAGTAATATTTGTCAAAACTGACTTACTTGGTGGGAATATATTTTCATGCCATACTGATATTTGTAATTACAACACACGTCGTAGAAATCATGTACATCAAGTGTCAGTATCAACAGCGCACTACCAGAAATTCACAAACAATACATGTACGTTTCTTTACAACGCATTGCCAGATGACATTAAACAATGAAAGTCGGTACCCAAATTTAAGTTAAAATTAAAATATTTTCTGTTGCATAACTATACAATTAGATACTATACTGATCATCAAAACGAAAAATGATGTTTATTTTAACAAAACAGTGATATGATGAGTTAGTTTACATTTGTATAGTTTTTAAGACCTAATATGCTTGTAAAAATAA